TGCTCCTCTGATGCTGCTTGGCCTGCTGTGTTCATCCAGCTCTACACTTTGTTATCTCAGATTCTCCAGCATCTGCAGTTCCTACCATCTCTTGTGAGAAGGTTGTTGACTTGCTCGCCAAGTTGTCTTGTTTTCGTTCAGATGTTTCATCATCATGCTAGGTGACATCATCAGCCAGGCCTTCAATGAAGTGACGTCATTCTACTCCGCATGGAATTCCCAGATTCATCGGAGGCTCCAGTGATGATGTCACCTAGCATGGTGATGAAACATCTGAACAAGAACAAGCCAGCTCGGCAAGCAATTCAACAACCTTCTCACAACTGTAATTCCATTCATTAACCATTACTGCTACCCATCACCTATTTTTAAGATCGCCCATTCAAACCTGCCTGAAAACTCTATATCCAGGGATACTGAGCTGCCAAATCTGTGCCTCCTTTAGCCAGGTTTCTATTATAGCAAAGGCATCATGCTGCCAAGTGTCTATCTGTGCCCTTAGTTCATCTGCCTTGCTTGTAATACTTCTTGCATTGAAGCGCAACTCCATCAATTTTCTTTACTGGACACATTTTAATCCTTGTTTCTTTTGTCTTTCCAAATCTCTGAATACATCACTAATTGATGTTTTACCTCCTGTTTCCTGGTCTGAATCAGCCCCTAAATTGATTCCCACTCCCCTACCATACTAGTTTGAAATCTCACCAACGGATCTGGCACAAGCCAGAGTGAGGGCTCTACCCAGGTACAACCTGTTAAGACTTGTACAGGTTCCATCTTCTCCAGAAATGGTCCCAATGCCTCAAGAATCGAAACCCCTCACTGGTACATCACTTCTCCAGCCATGCATTCATCTGATCTGTTCTCTTATTCCTGCTCTCACTAGCATGTGGCACTGGGAGTAATCCTAACATTAATACATTTGAGGTCCTGCCTTTTAACCTATTTCCTAACTTCTTACATTCATCTTTCAGGTCCTCATCCCTGTACTTACCTTTGTTGTTGGTACCTGCGTGTACCACAGCCACTGGGTGTTCACGCTCCCAATCCAGAACATCCTGCAACTGCTACGACACCCCTGATCCTGGCACCTGGGAGGCAACATACCATCCTGATTCACGTCTGCAGTCAAAGTGTGCCTGCCAGTATCCTCTATAATTAAATCCTCTATCATTATCACCCGACTGACATTTGCTGCCTCTTCTGTGCAACAGAGCCACCTGTGGTACCATGAACTTGGCCAATGCTGCTTTCCCCCTACGAGAGGGCACCCACGACCCCCGAAACAGTATCCAAAGTGGTATATCTGTTTGAGAAGGGATGGCCACAGGAACTGCTGCACTTCCTTCGTAAGCCTTTTACTGTGTCTGATGGTCACCCATTCCCTTTCTGCCTGTGTAATCCCTCACCTGCATTGTGACCACTTCACTAAATGTGGTGTCCACGACATTCTGAATATCACAATGTCCACAGTGAGTCTACCTGCTGCTCCACCTCCAAAACGCAGTTAGCCAGTAGCTGTAGCTGGACAAACTTCTGGCACGCTTATTTGTCAGGGACAATGGAAACATCCCTTATTTCCCACATCGCACAAGAGGAGCTCAACATTAGTCTGAGGTCTCCAGTCATGACTTCCCTCTAGAAGAATCTAGTTACTCCCTTTAAGAGAATTTAATTAAGTCAGGGACCTTCCTTCACACCAAAGAGTTCTATTAAAATCACAAATCCCTACCTTTACTTAAGCTAACATATTACGCTTTAAAAACTGTAAGAAAAATACTCTGCAGGTATCACTTACCAATTGGCTGTTTCTGTTGAGACCATGTCACTTTCTGACCTATCCAAACTGAGAGTGAACACTTCACTCAGTCTTTCAGCTTCAGCTACTCCCTGTTTTCACCCAACTCCAAAGCACACTTGTTTAGTCAAGCAACACACTCAGCGCAGCATGAGCTCTGAATGATAGTTAACTTATCAATAAAAATTAGACAGACAGGGTAATGAACCTACCTACTGCTAACTATTTACCCAACAGGAGAATATGGAGCACATGAAATCATTCCACAATGGTAGCAGGTGAGAATTAAAATGGAACTAAATTAAGTTAAACGAGATTGCAAATCTTTATAATGCACATCTGACACTGTCCACTTCATATTCTAAACTTCAACTATTTACAAATATAATTGGTAAAATACCATGACTGCTGAATAAAAGCAGAATGGCCAGCTCAGGGAGGTCTCCTCAGATATTAAAAGTTTTTGACTAATGATGAAAACTGCTGTGATCTCATGGCATTGTTTACATGCAAAATTGAGCGAATACATTATATCTTGAATTTTTTTTAACCATATCTGGATTTGGTTATTTTTGAAGTATCATTCCAGTAGAGAATCAGCTGTAGAAATGGCTACAACTTTATGGCGTCTTCCAGTCCTTATAATTTCTAGACTAAGATGAAAAGTATAGGAAATAGAATTATGAAGCATAAATGAAAGACTATTCAATCCATTGTGCCAGCAACATCTCTGAAAGAGCTATCAAATTAGTCCCACTCACCTGTCTACACCCACAGCCCTACATATTTCACTTGGAAGCACATTCAATTTAGTTTTGAAAGTTCCTAAAGTACTTGCTTCCATCATTTTTAGACAACATATTCAAGATAACAACTTGTGCAAAAACATACATCTCACTGGTGGTTCTGTGTCAATTCTCTCAATCTTGTTACTGACCACCTGCCATTGGAAATAGTTTCTCGTTATTTACCCCATCATAAGCCCTCACCATTTTAAGCACTGACTAAATTTCCCCATATCCATCGCAGATCCAAGTAATACAATTCATTTCTTTAGGTCCCTTTAGATAATTAAAATCATTTGACTCTCACCAATTAAACACTATCGCCAAAGTAAACCATGCAATATCACTGTGCTTGTGGTAAATGTCAATCAGCCTCATCACACTGATATTCTCAACTCTCAAGTAAACAATCTGTAGTGATTACCCTTCAGACAAGCTGCTAAATAGGATTGATGGTTTTTTACAACATTGCTTTTGTCAAAAATCTTCAGCTTTTTTTGGAAACTTTACTTTTGGAATCTGTCCAACAATACACGTTAAAGATCTCATGTTGCAAACTGTTACATGTTACGGCATTAAGCATATCTTGGCAAACATGCTCCCAAATATACCTTGCCATCTAGTCTTTGGGGTTTGAAGGAAAGAGTTTATTTCAGTTACAAACACAGAATGCTGGAGAAACACCAACAGGTCTGGCAACATCTGTGGAGAGAGAAACAGAGTTAACATTGAATATAGTATGACCAACTTTTGAGGAAGGGAATTCCAAACACAATGAAACCTCAAAAAAATGTTTCATCCACGTGAACAAGAAAGCCGATGGGGATGGAGGAGAGATGAAGAGAACTGGAAAAAAACAAATTGATATAGGCACATAACTATTTGGTTGGGGAAGCACTGATGCAACGTTATCGAAGAATATCTTTTGCACAAATGTAATCGGTGAACAGGAGCCCTGTACATCCTTTCCATTGTGAGTTGTACATGATGGACAGAAAGAGCAAAGAAATTTGTGTTAAATTAGGTATCTTAAAGATGAAACATGAGAAACAAGTAACAACTGGACAGTGAAAGTAGGGACCTTATCTCACAGTTCAAAGTCAAACTGCAGCAGTGCAGCTTGAACAGTTTACAAGTATTTGAAAGAAAAAAAAAATCAGGTAAGATTTGAGATTCATTATTTTAAAAATATATGTACTGGTTCTACAAAGAAGACTTTACATATTATACAGTGTACAAATTAACAAGAACCAACTAAGGTACTAAACAGTAGTGCAGTACACATCCTTGGAACAAATCAGCCACGTAGGGGGTGACTGATATTTCAACAAAATATTCCGACTAACAGATGTCATTCGAAAGTGCTAATCAGTTACCAAAGCCCCATGAAAAAGTTACATGACAGCCTAGTTACATACTGACATCTTGGCTTGAGGAGATTAAAATTGTGACACCTGGGATCAGTGGGAGCACACTATGTCACTAAGAGGAAGAGCTCAGGGCAGGATTAACAACCAGATTCGAGAAAACATGTAAAGCAAACCTCCAGTTATGGCATCAGCACATTTACATCCATCACATTTGCTATAGACGATCATGAGCAAATTCTATAACAATTTGCTCCAAATTCAACATTTCTTACAATATTTCTTGTTCAACTCCCTGGAAATGTGCATCTGGGGAATCAGTAAAGTCTTGAACTGCAACAAGTTATTTGAGGCCTGCCCACTTTCTTCATTTCTCAGCCAGTTAAGAGTTTAGCAGCTTCAACTGACCAAATCTAACTGTGCAATGACTCAAACTTCATCCTGCAAAATGGGTGAATTGGCCACAGACATTCCCCTTCTGTGTTCTTGGGAATGAATCCAGCCTTTATAGATGGTCTGTCTGTTGGTCGAAATCATTGAACTTACGCATGATAGCTGAACACAAATTGACAGCATCACTTAGAAGCCACAAGTATTGGAATGGAGGATCAAGAGATCCAGATTGATGAGTAATGGGCAGTTTTAAAAGTTTGTTCTAATCTCTCACACTAATATCCTTAACCTTGACCAGCAGAGGTCACCAAAAACACCATGTTATTCGACAGAGATAACAACAGTTTGGAACTGGAGGAACACAGCAGGCCAGGCAAAAGAGAAGTAGGAAAGTTGACGTTTTGGGTCAGGACTGCGCTGACAGAATATATCTTAAACAGCCTGATACTTCACAACCAACCTGAGGTTTTTTTCACACTAATTCATCGGACATGGATACGTGCCCCTGACATATTGCCAGTCAAACATAAAACATGTCCACAAGCACACATTAACCTAAATTGCAACCATAGCATCGAAATTAAAAGTTTCTTATGGAGCATTCTACTGCTTCTTACACACACAGAGTATTGCGTGCAATTCTAGTCACCATACAAAAGGATTGCTGTGGAGAATTTGGAAAGTATGCAAAAGGGGTTTGCCGGGATGTTGCCTGGACTGGAGTGTATTAGGTATAAGGAGAGATTGGACAAACTTAACTCAGAGGTAGTAAGAACTGCAGATGCTGGAGTCAGAGATAACACAGTTTGGAGCTGGAGGAAAACAGCAGGCTAGGCATCATCAGAGAAGAGGAAAGTTGACGTTTCAGGTCAGGACAAACATAAATTGTTTTTGTTAGGAGCGAAGGTTTTTTTTTGGGAGGGGGACAATGGCTTGATAAAAGTATATAATTTTTGAAAGTCATGGATAGAGTGAATTATCAGAGTCATTTTCCCCAAGGTGCGGATGTCAAATACCAGGATGCACAGGTTTAAGGTGAGGGAGGAAAGTTTAAAAGGATATGTGCGAGATAAATTTTTACAAAAACAAAAAAAAAAGAGGCGGTAGGTACCCGAAACGTGCTGCCAAGGTAGGTAACAGAAGCATATAAGATAGCAACATTTAAGCACCGTTTAGGCAGTCACATGAACAACAGCAGAATATGAACTATGTGCAGGCAGATCGGATTAGTTTATAATGGCAGCATGGTTGGCACAACATTGTGGACCAAAGGACCTGTTCCTCTGCTATACTGTTCTATATTCTATATTTACATACAAATACACTCACAGCTGCAATGCTGGTCATTACCCTCTCTCTTAGGTGTGTGGTTAAATGGGAGTCACAGTTCCTTCAACATGTTATTTTTCCAGTGAGATTAAATGTTTGAAAGGTATGACAGTCCATCAGAACAAACAGCATTCAGTACTTGCCTCAAATCTAAGCCCATCATTTAGTACCCCAGCATCATGGAGCATGGGCAGTATCACGGTACATCAATACAATATTGAAATGGTTCAAACTGTAATTTTGGCTCAACTGTAATTTTCAAATAAATACTGCTTAGCTTATAAAATGTAGTGTGGTGTTTTCATGAGCTTTGAGAAACGTACAACTACTTCAACTGAACTTTTAAGAATTCTAAATGTACCCTACGCTAGAAATCCACACAACTGCCACCTCAGTTGTTTTATCCTTGATGTTTTGAGGACTGAGTATGTGGGGACTTGCTCTGAACTCAACAACTTCACAAGTTCTAATGGCCAAAACAACTAAACTGCAAATACATGATTCACCCACCAGTCCAATAATTCTTATTGAAGTCAAAACATCTAACTCGTCTTCCTACCTGCACTTTTCACAATTTTCACCATATCTGGAATGTACAATGCCTTTTCTCTCACACCACTGTAGAATAGTAATACTCTTAATACCCAAGGTGGGTCACTCAGAATCTTTACATGGAATTTTATTGCACTTATTCCTGCTGCTGATGCAACCAACTGTCACTTTTAAACAAGAACAGGTATTTTGTAAGTTTCCTCTCACTTCCAAAACAGTGGCAGCCTGATATCTGCTTTTGAGTGGTTAGGTGGAGGGTCTTCACATCAACAAATTATCATTGTACCAAAGCCTTGGGTTGTATATGTCAATTAAAATGAACTCAATGGAGCTGGCAACTGGAGTTCAGTTGAATTGGGGCTTATTTTCATGAAATTAAGAGAAAGCAGCAGACAAATCAGAATGTGGAGAATCCCGTGTATTTTCACACCAGCATCAGCACTTATATACAAAACACAAAAATCGATCTAGCATATCAGGGAGCTCCAACCTCACTCCCTTAAATCCTGCAACCTTCTCTCAGACCAGCAGCCAACTTGCACTTCCCCCTCCAACCAACACTTCAACAGCTCCTCATTCCATATATTCCCATCGTATCTAGAGCAGCTTCCACTAGCATTAAGTGCCATCAGGGCACTACACAGGGTGGGGAGAAGAGGAAGGACATATTAGGTCTGTTGGGAGTGAAAGTAGTGTGATTCGTGGGGTGGGGGAGAAGAAGAGGGGGGAAGAAGAAAAGGGAAGGGAAACAGGGAGAGGAGACATGAGGAAAGGCAAGGATGTCTTTCAGTGACCACCCCCACACCTACACCCACCCACCACAAAAATCGGGCCTTTGAAGGCCCAGCCTTCGCCACCTTTCGCCTCCACTGCCGCTTCCTGCCCTCCATGTGGGTCCTAGCCGACAAACCCCACAGCCGAAGCTGAAGCAACATCGAGGGGCTACACGGAAAAGTAGGCTCGAGTGGGAAAGGGGGCTAGTTCGTGCATCCTGGGTTTAGGCCGCGCGGCCTGGGACTGGCGTGTTTTTTTTGGGGGGGAGGCAAGAGTGTAGGAAGCCCCGTCGCTCCTTACCTGGCCTTCGATGGGCCCTTGGCTCTGGCCTTGTGTTTGTGTCTGTGACGGTAAGGTGAAGTCGGTGAACTCGAACTCGGAGCCCTGCGTATCGGCCCCAAGCAGCTCGGCCTCCTCCGTGTCTAGGAAGGTAAGAGTCTGTGAGCTCGGCCCGTACGCGTCCACACTCATGGCGGCCACGGCTCGGGAGCGCGCAGTCGCCCCCGGCGCGATTCAAAACCCTGGGAACAACCGCTGCGCAGCGCGCGCCGGACGGATGAGGAGAAGAAGCGAAGCGAAGCGAGGCCGGGCCTTGGCTAAGCCTACTCGGCGGGGAGCCGGGCGAAGGAAAGGCCGGTGGGCGCGGGTTCGGGAATCGATCGCTCGGCAGCGGCCAGAGAAACCCAGCGAAAGCCGCAACTCCCCCGCAGCGCTGACGTAGTGCACACAGCGTCGTGACGCACTCGGAAACGTCATCGCGCCCGGACCTGTGGTGACGTCATCTCCAGCAAGAAGCGATGCCGTAATCCACAGGAGAGCGGCCCTGAGTGAGTGGGCGGGAGAAATTTACCCCGACACTCACAAACCCCATCTTCATTCCC